ATTTTTCATTTTCTTTTTCATTTCTAACTTTTAACTTTGTACTTTTAAAATTTTAATAAAATATTATTATAAAAAAAAAATTATACTACTGGACCTAAACGCTTTCAAGATCATCCCTACAATTACAGAGTACAGTGCATTTACTATTTTGCTTCCTGGAACAGCAATTCTTTTCTGCTTAAGCGATGCACAGGAAGAAGTACGGTTCTCAATGAATCAATTACTAACACAGTACCTGAAATAGCATAGTCTCCATTTGGTGATGCTACAGTTATGGCAGATGCGTTGCCAATGCTCTCTACTGGGCCCAGCCCCACATGATTACTGAAACTGAGCACGTGCCACCCCATCACTTTGGCCAGCTGCTGAACTGCAAGAATCTGATGTTGTGACATCTGGAATTAAAAAAAGGAGAGGAAAAAAGTGGTGTGCTTTAGTTGTTTTTGTAGCTTCTGCTACATTCTCTCAAAATGCCAAGCACTTATTTTGTGAGCTACACTAACATAACTAACCCTTGGTAGTTTAGTGAACCTCTTTAACCCTTGGTATTTTAATTAATCTCTTTTATACTAATAATGGAACGAGGAAAATAATAGTAGTTCTTATTACTATTTTCCCTTCCACCTCGGCAAGAAAACCAAAGAATAAGCCATTTGCATAGTAAGATTAATGCACCATAGGAGCTAAATACGTTCCAAATGAGGTAACACAACTGAAGTCCAGTCTCAGTGCTTTTTGTGATCTGCTGTCAAATTATGGAGATTCTGTGTATGTACGTAATAAACCAGAATAAGGCAGATTCCTATGAATCTGCACTTTGAGTTGTTGCTGGTTTATGAATTCTGATGTATGAATCAAAACTTTGATTATGCATCAAAATATCATAATCGCCCAGCAGCATGAGCATATTTTGATAATGATCCAGGAAAGGTGCTTTAGTACATGTGTGAGTGTGAGTACAGGACCCTATGTAACTCTGAAAAAAGACACTGCTGCCTTAATAAGTCAGTTCTACTAAGAAATAGGTCCACGCACATCAGAATGGGAAAAAAATCTTGTTTTTCTACCTGAGAAAGAAGAAAATCTTGTAGCTCTTGCTCTTGATGGGACAGTGTGATCACTCTTCCATCTCGATGTACTACTCTAATCTGTTCAATGCCAATATTCAATTGCAGTTGAA